ATGTCGGGACAGTTTATGGGGTCATGTCGGACCGTTGTAGCAGACAATGTTGTGACAGTTGTTGTGACAGTTTACGGAGTCTTGCTGGACCCTTGTAGAAACTAACCGGAATCTATGTCGGGACAGTTTACAGAGTCTTGTCGGACCCTTAAAAAGTCGCACCCTCAAAAGGTGTGCCCAATCTTTCAAAAGGCGTGCCATCAAAAGGCGTGCCCAATCCATAAAAAGGCGTGCCATCAAAAGGCGAGCCCAAGTCATAAAAAGGTGTGCCGGACATGATGGCGAGGCACGTGGGCGCCTTGGCTTGCGCGCCCGTTTTGTCGTCTGGTGGCAAGAGGCGCGCGATGCGCGTGGCTGCCTCGGCTATTTAACCAAGACGGAGGCTGAGGCCGAGGCAGAGGCTGAGACAAGAAACTGAGAAAAACCTCTGAAAAAAAACTCTTCGTTTTGCTAAGAGAGATAGTGCGTTTTGCTGAGAGAGATAGTCTGTAACACGTTGTTGCCCAGAAAATGGCCTCGTCTGGACCTAGCTATCTAGAGGAAGTCTTGTAGCGGACCGAGGTGATACCAGTGAAGGAGGCTGAGCTAAGTTTAGCTCGGCAAAGCGCCATCTTGGTTGAGGTTATCACAGTTCTGCTAAGATCAGAGCAAAGCAGAGCAGAGCCAAGATTAGTTTGGTTGACCTTATCACCAGCCGAGGTAAAGGGTTTAAACCATCTCACTTGGTTAGCAGTGAGTCCCTACTATCAGGATAGATATTATCTTTGGGAGTGTGATTCCTAAGAGGACTCTGCTAAGGAGAGTATGAGTCCTATTAGGATTGTACTATGCGGAATCTATAAAAGCTTACGACTACACCTATTTTCAGGTATTGTAATTCTTACTCTAAAATGCACAGAGCTTATTGTCTATTGTCTGCTTGTTGACTTAAGCATCGAAGGGGTTTCTGGCAAACACTCGCCGGTTAGCTCATGAGTGTTTTTAGGTAGCAAAGCGACGACGTTTGGAAGAGTGCAAACTTGGTCTACAAAATTATACGAAAATATTATTTCGTGCTCGTATACTATTATATATTCTAAAATTTGTTTGTCCATGGTAAAGGGAAGAGTTTGTTGTGTCTTCCTTCATAATAATATGCAAAAAATTTCTATTAGGCTTATGGATTTTTAAAGATGTGATCAAACCAGAAAATTTTTTAACATCTACAAAATCACTTTGTTTGGTTTCAGTTTTCAGAATTTATTTTTTAGAAAATTTTATTTTTTTATTTTTTATTTTCTTATTTTCAATGATTTTTTTAATATTTTAAGCAATTTTTTTTATTTTTAGATACACCTAATATAAATATACTTAAAAAGTATAATATTTGTGAAAAAAATCTTTAAAAAAATTCACTAAATACCAAAAATATAAAAAAATAAAATAAAAATTCAATACATTTTTTTGTATTTTTGTGTATTTATTAATTTTTTAAATTTTTTTCACAAATATTTTACTATTTAAATACATCTAAGTAAAGATGCATTTAAAAAAATAAAAAAATTAATTAAAATTTTAAAAATATTTACAAAAAACAAAAAATACGATAAACAAAAAACTTAATTTTCAAAACAATTGAATTCAAAAAACTGAAACCAAACACACTTGCTTATTTGGACATGTTTGGTACAACTTTTAACAAATGGAAATTTGATAATTAGAAAGTAGAAAATTATAATAAAAAAGTAGAAGATAAAAATCAACCTTTCATATTTTTTTTATTTATGTTTTTCCCCTTCATAAATTATAAACAAAAGCTGTATGAAACACTTTGACATAAATTTTCAAAATAATAAAGTTAGTATTTTCATAAGTTGCACAAAATAGCTCCATTGTCAATAATTTGTTAAAATTTTTTAATATGTTTGTATCAAACACTTTGGCATAAATTTTCAAAACAATAAAATCTATCACTGTGTTTGGTTTGAGTTTTCTGGATTAAGTTTTTTGAAAATTGACTTTTTTGATTTTTTGTGTTTTTTTGTTTTTAGTGAATATTTTTTAAATTTTAAACATTTTTTTTACTTTTTTAGATGCACCTTACTTAGATGCATCTAAAAAGTAAAAAATTTGTGAAAAAATATTTTAAAAAATTAATAAATACATAAAAATATAAAAAATGTACTGAATTCTTGTATTTTTTTATATTTTTGGTATTTAGTGATTTTTTAAAAGATGTTTTTTATAAATTTTTTACTTTTTAGGTGTATTTATGTTAGGTGTGTCTAAAAAGTAAAAAAATTGCTTAAAATATTAAAAAAATTCAGTAAAAACAAAAAAATACGAAAAATAAGAAAGTAGAATTTTTTGAAAAGTGTTTTGGAAAACTGGAAACCAAGCAAGGTTATTTTTATAAGTTGCACTAAATAACTCCATTGTTAATAACTTGTAGGGTAAATTACAAATACATCTCCTAAGGTTTGTTTAAAGTACAGATTGCCTTCTGTAGTTTCAAAAATTACAAATACCCCATTGTCAGATTTTTTATTTAACAAAATTAACTAAAAAAATAAAATTCATAATTGCTCTCTAATACAATAATAAAATTACCTAAATTATTAATGGAAACATATTTATAATATTATTAAAAACTGTTAATTAACTTCATAATTAATTAATAAAAGGGGCAATATGTTACAAAATTAGAAACCTCAAGGGGTGGTATGTAATTTGCAAAATCACAGGGGGTGATTCATATTTTAAATAAACCTCAAGGGGTGTATTTGTAATTTATCCTAATTTGTATGTTGATAATTTGTTAAAACTTTTGAACATATTTGTTGGACCTTGTCGTATCATTTTTTTGATATTTTATTTTAATGTCTGGCAATAAATTAAGGTTCTACTTCGACATATTGATTACAAATTAGAACATCTGAGTTTAAATTATATTAAAAAAGAACAAAGTTGGTTATTATAGAGGGATGGATAAACTGAGAGGAAAGGTAGATTAAAGCAAAAGAATAATATTCTATTAATCTTTGTACAAATATTTGAAGTATTGCAAGTGATTATTAGGTTTTCAAATAATTAGTAATTATTTTAAGTTCATCATAATCTATCCCAGTAAAATTCCTTAAATTTAATTTTGAGATCCATATTTATATTATTATATTGGAAAAAACTATTTGGTTCAATAAAACTTTTCGTTATTGTCTCATATAACACAAATTAAGTTTAGTGTTGCAGATCGTTAGGTTGAATAATACATACCTATAAGACAAACTTCAGATACATGCACAATCACTAGCAATAGTAGTCAAATTTACTAATGAGGTTATGGTGGGAAATACAAAAATGTTGAATTTTAGAAAATTATTTTTGTACAATATGAAGATGGATGCTTTTAAATATTAAACACAAAATGCGCAAACGAAAAACGGATAAAATGAAAACATAACAAAACATGCCCAATAATCTTTCAAATTTGCTTGCAAGTATAATATAAATGTTACAACTAAAAAACATTTAGTGGTGGAAGTGGAGATAAATAATCAAATAAATATATATCAATACAAAGTCCGTCTTCATATAGTGAGAAATTTCTCATGAATCACTGGTTCCTCTCTTTAAGTACTCTCAGTGGTAACTTTGCAGCGGTACCATAACTTGCGCCTTGAACTTAAACAAAAGTCTCTAGAACTGGGTTTCAAGACTTTTAACCATTGAGGAATGGAAATAAGATTAACTTAAAACTTAAAAACAACATTTAGTGGTGAAAATGAAAACAATAAATTAAAAAATACATATATATATATATATATATATCAATGCAGAGTCCTCCTCCATATACTGTGAAATTTCTCATGAATCATCGGTTCCTCCCTTGAAGTACTCTTAGTGGTAACTTTGAATCGATACCTTAGCTTGAGGGCCGCCTTGAACATAAACAAAACTGCATTCAGAGCCCGGTTTCAAGACTCCAAGCCATTGAGGAAGCTCATAGGTGTTCTTTTCTTGAGTTGGGGAGAGACCCCATAGAGACCCAGAGAGGTTTTCAATTGTCAACTTGAGATCTGTGATTGGTTTTTGAGAAACATTCTTGAGTATCACCTTGTGCCTATAGTAAGTTGTTCTTCCAGTTGTCCATTTACCAGATATTAAGTGAGAGAATTCAACTGCAGAAGTATCTGCAAAATTAGAATAGTATACCTCATAATATTCCTCTCAAACCAAAATTAGCGAGTTATTATTCTGTTTCCCTAGAACACCATGTTAGCTTTGTGCCCGCTTAATAATGATATGACCAAGTCTAAGTGCACAAATGAAATTCATGTAATGCGATACAAATGTGAGCCAAAGGGTCCTATTCTGTGAATTTCATCTGTGTGTTACTAACACTGCTGTAAGAGGAGGTATATATATGCTTATATGGTTCAAAAAATAAGAAAAATGGTAGACAAATCATTAAACACCATTGACTAGGAACACAACCACATGGTGCTCTGAATCCATGTGATTATTTTTGCAAATTAGCAATTCATCTTTGGTCCCATTAAGAACAGTCCTTTTGAACATAGGTTTGAGAAAACATAGATGTCACACATGCTCATGCAGTCAAGCTAATGCAAGTTGTCAATACTTTAACAGGAGTAACTCTTTTTCTAAGGTTCTTTTGGTTGCAGCCTATGGCATTGTTTGGGACCTTGGTTTGGGGCTAAAATAGCCACAAAAAACAAAATATGCTATTTTAGCCACAAAAAATAAAACATCAAATCCAACCCATAATCATTACAATCCTCTCTCACAAAAAAAGCCAAAAAAGCCAAAAAGTCAAAAAGCTCTTCCCAAACCAAGCTAAAATAGCCCAGGCTAAAATAGTCAAAAAGCCAAAAAGTCAAAAAGCCAACCCACTTCCCAAATGGAGGCTATAAGTGGGCTTATTTTATTTTTTCAATTTTGAAACAATCCTTAAATCTAGTAAAGATAAAAATAAATCAAATTTTCATCACGTTTTGACAAAATTTAACTTATTTTTAAGACCGTCTTGTTTTGGGTATAGCTTATAAGTTAATTTTTTACTTATTACGAAAAAATGTGTAAAAAAGTAAAGAGGTGATGTGATTCAAATAAATTAATAAGTCAAAAGATAAATAGATCATAAAGGTAAATTTTTTTTACTCAAAGTGTAAAAAACAATTCACTAAAACTAAAAATAAATTAGGTTTATCAATTAATCTCATGTGGAGAAGACTTTAGTTTGGAGTACTGACCTGGTTTTCGATTGGGTGCTGTTGTTGATTGGGGGTAATAAGCTGCGCAAAAAATAAAAAGTAAATGGGTCTTATGAGATTTAAATGAGAGAATATATAAAATATTTGATCAAATCATTTATATCTAGCAGATCAAATGAAGTGTGATAATATCTTTTAAAATATTTGATAATTCATTTAGAATATCTTAACATTTTTATTTAAATAAATTAGACCAATCATTTTTGAGGTTCAGTAAAATTAAATCAATTAATTTAAAAACTAATAAAAATAATATGTAAATATAAAAATAAACAATATAAAATATATCAAATTTTAGCACTCACTTGGTGTTGTTTGGTGGGGCCTTGGAGACACTTGTTGATAGGAACCTGCAAACGTGAGGGGAGGATGTTGTTAGACGTCCAGTCGTTTCATCAAATTTAAATTTAATTAAAAAATATTTTAAATTTTTTCATCAGATATTTATTAAATTAAAGGAAAATAACTTTTTTTTATAATTAAATTGATGATCTATCAAATTTTTCGTTATTTAAAATTGATAAAAATTTAAAAAATGAATTATAAATGCATTTTTTGAGATTTGCAAAAAAAAATACAAATTGTCTTTGTTATTTTAGAAATTACATCTCATATTTTCAAGTTTCTATTGAATAACAAATGATTCATTTTATTAATAAATTATTAAGTTAATTAATTATTTTTAATGATGTAAAAACTATATTTTAATTAATATTTCAAGTAATTTTATTATTATATATTAAAGTAGTTAGAAATTTTATTTTATTTTTGTTAAATAAAAAATTCTGATAAAGGATACATGTAATTTCTAAAATTATAAGAGATAATTCGTATTTTTAGTAAATTTTAGGAAGTGTATTTGTAATTTATTCAAAATTTTAAAAATTTAGGCTTCGTTTGCTGAGGGTTTCAAATTATAGTTTCACCCATCGATTTGAGTGTATTGTTTGTTTTGAACTTTGAAATTATAATTCTACACCCATTTTTCAAAACTCAATTCAAAACATAATCATTATTTTTCAAAACTTAGAACCAAACACATAATTCAAAACTTAATTTAAATCAATATTTTAATTTGGTTAAGATTTTAAATATTTTAATATTTAAATATGTTACGATTTTTTTTTAATTTTTTGAATATTTTTAAATATTTTAATTTCAAAATATTAAGATTTTAATTTTTAAAATTTTAAAATATTTTATAAAAATAAATTCAAACTCTATTTTATAAAAATATTTTTAAATATTTTAATTTTTTTGTTATGTATTTGGTTACGATTTGAGTGTAGATTTGTGAAAGTAGTATGGAGTTTCGAGTTATGTATTTAGTTATGAATTTTAAAAATAATTTCTTAATTGAGTTTTGTTTTATGTGTTTGGTTACGATTTGAGTGTAGAGTTGTTTTTAAATTTAAAATATTTTTTAGATTATTTAAATTATTTAAATATTTATGATTTAAATTTTTTGAATATTTATTTTGAAAAAAATTATTTCCTTTGTAGTATTTTCAATTAAAAATTTGATTAATGTTATTTTTTGTTAATAATAAATTTTTTTAATTGAATTTTAAAAGGAGTTTGGTTATGAGTGTTGATCAGAATTTTCAATAGTGTGAAAGTAATGTATTTTGTTATGAATTATAATAATTTGAATTAAGTTTTGAAAACTCTTTTCAAAACTCATAACCAAACAAATTTTGTTACTTCACATGTCAATCAAACTTTCAAAACTCAATTCAACGCTCTCTTCAAAAACCATAACCAAACAAATTTTTTACACTCAAGTCATAATTTCACAACTCACAAACTCAAAATATAACTTATACTCTTAAATCATATTTACAAAACTCTACTAAACACAACCTTAGCTTTTCTCATTGTCATTTCAAATTGAGAGTTTCGACAGGTTCATTTGAGACCAATTTTGGTAATTCAAATAGTTGACTTTAAATTATATTTATTTTAAAAAAATAAATAAAAAATATAATTTTAAAAATAATTATTCATTTTTTATAATACACATTTAATTCAAATATATAATTTTTGAGATCCGATTATCTTAATTTTTTATATAAATATTCTACTAAATGAGTTTAAAGTTAAACAATTTAAATCACTAAAATCAGGCCTCGTTTGGGAACAAGCTAATTTAGTAATTTTTTAGCTATTTAGCTAAAAAGGTAGGTAAAAAAAACTTGTATGTTTAGAATGATTTTTTGACTAATTACGAAAAAATGTACAAAAAGTAAAGAGAAAAAAAGAACTTTAACTTTTTAATATAAATTATTGACTTTTTTATTAATTTAATAATTTTTTAACTAATTAACTCAAAAAAGTAAGCCCCTAATGGGGCCTCAATCTCAAAATAAGTCTCTTAAATCCAAGCACTCTCTCGAGATAGTCAATATGAAACAAGTCAAATCCATTTTTCATTTTTATTTTTTTCCATCAAATATGATGAAAATGAAAATTTAGTATAAGACAAAATTTTAAAATAATTTTTTTTTGATGAAGAATTAAAAATGGTGTGAGCTGACAATAATAACACCTGAATTTCCAGAAACGCTGTACAGCTTGGAGAAGAGGCCAATGAGAGGAGCAGAGCCAGAGAGAGTTGGTTCAGACTGTTGGTAATCGGATCGATCATCGAAGAAGTCATCGTTGTTGTTAGGACCTCCGACTAGTGCTCCGTATATGAGGTTAGGGTTTGGTTGAGGACGATGATACCATGTCTCGAATCCTTCAACGCATCGAACCACTGAGTGAAGAACTGAGATCGATGCAATTGAAGCTCCTCTGTGGTGTACGTGGAGGGGATACGATTCTCCGCAACCTACCACGTAGCTCATCGATTTTGGGTTCTTCCCCAACATGTACTCGGCCTGTCAAAAATTAACACACACACTTTGGAATTAAAACGATTTTCAAAATTTTAAATTTTTATTTTTCATTTGCTTTTATTTTTAATATTTTTTTAATCAAAAAATTTAATATTTTTCATAATTTTATTTTTATATTTTTTAAATACGGTTAACCTCGATACACTTTAAAAAATAGAATTTTTTTTAAGATTCTTAATATTAAAAAATAGAATTTTTTTTAAGATTGTTAATATTAAGATTTTATAAGATAAAAAATAAAAAAATATTTTTATAGTAGTTAAGGTTTCTTTAACATTATTACAAAGAAAATTCGATACAGAAAAATTTTACTTGACTCAGATAAATTTCACACCGACTCAGAGAAATTCATCAAATATAAAATATAAAAATTTAATTAATACATTTTTATTGTTGTTGTGTATTTATTAAAAAATGAAAAAAATTACTTAAAATATTAAAAAAATCATTAAAACAAAAACGCAAAAATAAAAACTTAATTTTCAAAAAATTAATTTAAATTATTAGTTTGTCTCGATGACCTATACACAATTGTTTTTTTTTAGTCTAAAAGTTTGATTTGATAATCAAATTCTATCAATTTAACAAAAAAAATAAAAAAAATTATTCCAAAATTTTGGTGAAAAAGTCATCTCGAATCTTTCATCTTTTAACAATTTCATCACTTATTGGAAATTTGTTGAAAGATTTTGTTCAATTTTGATTTGATGAAAAATTCTTGATTTGACACAAATTTGATAAAATCATTAGATCTTATTGAAATCTTACCTATATATATATATATGATTCTGTGATTGGTTTTTATTGTTTGTAATAGAACTGTTGTAAAAGAAGAAGTTAGTTAGAGAGTAGTGAAAGTGCCTGTGAATTAGCAAAGTTGAGGAGGTCCTGAGGCTGAAGTTGGGCATCTGGACATTTGAGGACAGCATGAGATTGAGAGAGGTAATCAGAGTATACTGCTACTAGGAATGCTGCTGATGCTGCATATTGCATGTTGTTCCATTCCCTCACATACACTAACCCACCTGAGTAAACATCACCATCAAAAAATAATTCATTAAATTCTGTTAGAAATATACCTACGAAAAATCCCTAGTTACATTCATAGTCATTTAGAGTGTTAGCATCCGACATCAATTACAAACGATGTTCAGGTTAAATTTATAAGACTGCATAGGGTTCCTTCATTGTGGAGGAGGCGCCTTTTGAGTTGGAGCTTAAAAAGGATATATCCCTGATATTAGATGCAATCGTAGTTAGGCAATACTTCTAGATGAAAGTTAGACCACATGTTTATGTAGTATCAGAGTTCAAATCATGCGTTTGTTGTGGATGATATACATGATGGACATATAAAATGGTGTTGGCCACTTTCAATGTGGAGACGTATTTTGGATTAGAGCTTAAAGAGGCAAACCCTTCAAGTTGATGGTTGAACTAGATTATAACGAACAAAACTTCTAGATGGGGGTTGGGTTGCATTTCTAGCATGGTATCAGTGTTATAGTTGTGTCGGTTGGAGATGATGTTCAAGATGAATTTATAAGACGGTGTAAGACACTTTTATAATAGACGTCTTTTTGGTTAGAGCCTAAAAGAACAGTCACGTGACGCCAGCTATTAGGCTAAGCCATAGCCGACAATACTCTCAATCCCGTGAGGCCAGCTATTAGGCTAAGCCATAGCGGACAATACTCTCATATGGAGCTATACGACACACATCTAACAAGAGAGATTAGAATTAGGGGTACTAACCAGGAGTAGTGGCAACATTGTATCCACCATTCTTTTGCAGACAAGCACAAGCAAAGAAATCAGCTTTGGCCTGATATTGCTTCAAGACAGAAGTGTATGCTCCACCGCCTCCGTCCATTAACACCTACAACATCCATTTAGCTTCCAAAATGTTACTTACACATACCTCAAAATACCATAATTTTGTTTTTGTTTTCATTTTCTGTTTTCAAAAACAGTTACCAATTGGGTATTTTACCTTTGAGAGGAGAATTTGGACACCGGCATATTTGTTGTCCCAAGAGAATTCTTTAACAGCCCAACCAGTTCCACCCATAGAGGCAGCATTATCAGCAACATATTTCAAATAATACTCATCATTGGTTGCTCTGAAGAGCCAAGCAGCAGCCCATAACAGTTCATCCTTCACCATTAATTATAGAAATTGGCAAGAAATATATTAAGCACAATGAAAGGTAAAAGGTAAACAGTAATGTTACGGACACAGAAAATTTAATGTAAAGTTAATGTTTATTAACTGACCGAATAACCAGAAGAAGTGTAGAATTGCTTAGCACACGCGATGGAGTCATCATAATAACCCCTAAATGTATTGGCAAATGAGAAAAGCTGCGGTAGTAGATTCAACAACAAATTGCTGTTAAAATCACATGATTTTCAATTCTAGCTGTTCTATGCATGTACTTATTGTATACAAGTAATAATTTTAATCTCACCTGTTTGGCATGAACTAAGAGAAGGTTAGAGTAGGAAGAATTGTAAGGCTTGAACGCAATAGATGCCGCGGCTAAAGCTGCTGCTGTTTCGCCTGCTAGATCAGAGCCAGGATTAGAGGGATCAAGCCTGTAAGCAGTCCTGGGAGTGGTCATGTCCTCGGCGCGTTCCCAACAATAGTGATCAGAGTCTCCATCCCCCACCTGATCATGAAATTCATTCAGTTTCAGTCACCCAAAACCATCTTTGTAGCATGTCATATGCATGTGTGTGCACAAAAATTGTTGATTAGCTATCTGCATGTAGAATCGTTTGATAATGTTGCCAGCTTCGTGTTTTCTGTTGATAGGAAATAATTTTTGTAAATTTGTTTAGTGTGCACAAATGTTTTGAAAATAATTTGAAAAAGAAAAAACAAAAAAAATCACATTTGGTGAGTTGTCAGATGTGGTGGCTAGCGGTGCAAGGTGTTTGGAGGTGGCCACTGGAGTTAGTAGGCATAGTGTCGTTGGAGCTAGTCGAAGTTCGTAGGATAATTGCCAGAGGATTGTTAGCTTGCGATTGGTCGTGACCTAAAGCCTTGTTTGGAAACTGGCTAAATTAACTGAAAAGCCATTACAAAAAGTCAATCTATTCTCTCTATTTTTTTTATACGTCTTTTTATAAAAAAAAAAAATTAAAAATCACTATAAAGGATAATTTCAAATGAACAATCATAGTGTCGTTGGAGCTAGCCAAAGTTCGTTGGAGGATGACCAGAGTTCTCTATTGAGTTGTTAGCCCACAACTGGTGACATGGTGGGGAGTGAAGAGAGATTGAAAAAACTAGTTTTAATTTTTTTTTTTTAATCAATTCTACTTTTTTAAAAACAAAAAGGTACCAAAAAAGTTTTAGTTTCTAATTTTCAAAAAAATAAAAATAAAAATAGAACACAAAATATTACAAAATGATGAATATTATAGTACTCATAAATTAAATACAAAAATGTGTAATTTTCTTTGGAACTTTACATGCTTAAAAGATGACTGGTAATTTCTTTATAGAACTTTCAAACCTTATGAATAATTTCTGATTAACATTTTTTTATTTTTTATTTTTCTGGTCTGAAATTCAGATTTCAGAGATGCTATTAATTGAGAAAGTTAATTATAAACTTGGTAGCTAGAAGTGCAGTTGCAACTATAAACTACACATTGAATATGTAAACCTTTATTTCCAACAATAATTAGTTCTACACTTTTAGTGCCCTTAAAAGCAAATTTAATCCTCTTGATTGTTAAAAAAAAAAAATGACATGGCTATTCACTTTTGGGTATGAATTTTAGAGCTGTAAACTTTAGAGCACACAAGCAAAACCTTGCATCCCCGAGAAGGTAATTTATTTGATGTGCTATCAAAATTAGAAGGGAAAAAATTAAAAAAAAAATGAAGAAGAAGAAGAAGAAGAAGAAGAAGAAGAAGAAGAAGAAGAAGAAACAAAGAGAAAAAGAAAAGACAAGAATTTTTTTTTATATTTTATTTTATGACTTAAAATTTCAATTTACTCACTTTGTCATTTAGTACATGACACGAATAAATTCTGAATACACTCAATCACCTACAAATCACGCTTATTAGATCTTTAAAAATTACTCTAAATAGAGTTTCCATTTTTCCCTTAATTACTGAGCAACCCATACAGGTCAAAAAATTTAGATAATGTACCATATGAAATTATTGATTGGCCTTGGCCAGGGATGCTATTATTATGGTTGGTAAATGAAAGATTAATTTGGGTTAGTCTGTAAATTGTAATTATTGTGTAAGCAGGCCGTGGGCCTGCTAGTGGTTTACTTAATGGTGTCACATAATGCCCAACCCACGTCCAGTAATTTGGCCCAAACAGATTCATGTACACTTGAATTTATATATATATATATATATGCCATTATATATATTTGAACTATTAAATGTTAGAAACAGGTGACCAAACAATTGAATGCCCTTTTCTCTCTCTCTCTCTCTCTCTCTCTGTGCATGCATGGTTGTGGTAGAAAGGGAATAACCAAGAAAAATCTGTTAATTCAGAAACAAAATATTATAAACCATGAAAATGTAATTTAAATTTTTCTCCAAAAAGTGAGGGCATGGTATAGATTTAACAATAGTGGGACGTGGGTCGCACCTACAATGAATATTGATTCACTTTTCTAGATAATTTTCTAAGCCTATTTTGGGAAGATGGTAAAAAGTGATTTTTTGGCTTTTAACCAAGCTTTTGACTTTTTAAGACAAATAATTTGGGAAGTTGGTAAAAAATTACTTTGACTTTTTTTATTAATATTTGTTTATGATGTCAAATTACAATAAAATAATCAAACTACTCCCATTCAATTTAAAATATTTACAACTTCACCCATGTAGCACATTTTGACCTATGAGGGGATAGAATTGTAATTTTACCAGTGGCTGAAAACCAACTTCCCATGGAAAAAAATACACAAAAAGCCAACTTTTGATTTTTGCTACAAACCTAAAAAAGTGGCTAAAAGTCATGTTCCCAAAACACCCCTGATGGAATTGCCCAATTCATTATATGTTTTGAAAGTATGTTATGTATTTTCTCTTATCTAAATTATTCTTATGCAATTGTCTATTAATTTTTGTTTTTTCAAATTTTAATTTCTTCAAAATTTTCCCTTCCTTCTACATTCAATTCCTCACTCCCAAATGGTAGTAACAATCGTCATCTATGCACGTACTACCTTCTAATATATACGTATATTAGCAATTGTGCACACATGCGATATATGTGTAAAGATAAATGACAGTTATAAGTGAACTTATTTTGAAGACAATTTTGAATAAAAAATCAAGAATACATGACAGAACTTGTGTTCACACCAAATTGAGTGTCCACATTACATAATAATATAAGTAGTATTATATATGTGTGTGTGTGTGTGTGTGTGTGTGTGTGTGTGTGTGAGAACTATGAAATGCTAGAAACAGCTGACCAAACAATTGAATTGGCATAGCACTGTTGAGGTAGGAAGGAAAACTTAAAAGAAAAAACCTACTAATTCAGAAAATTGATGTAATTAATTAAGGTAGTAGAAAGTAGGAAGTAGAAATAAGTAAGAAAATGATAGAAATAAGGGGGGTACCTGTCCCCAGAGAACATTAGGTTGAGTGTGAGCCTTAATGAAGTAATCAGTGCCCCATTTGATGGCAGCCAAGGTGTGACCCATTTGGTTCAGTCCTACAATCTCTCTCCTGAACTCAATAGCTCCCCATGACATCATTGTCACACTATATGCCATTGGCAGCCCAAATTTGACATGGTCTCCTGCATCATAGTACCCTCCCACCAAGTCCACCTGCATATTCAATACACACACACATATAATCACATACCCACATCATATATCTATTCTATTATACAAAATGTATAATTTAAAATATGTTTTTGAAATTAAGTCACATTTTCTTTTAGTGTCCAGATTTTTATTTCAAATATTGATTTCTTCAACCCAAAAAAAAAAAAACCCTTCCATCTACATTCGTTTCATTTTTTTAGAGGACAATTACAATTGTCATTTCATCACACACATTGCGTTTGTGTAGCCTTCTAATATATATATATGTGTATACTTTTTGTTAATTAATAATTCAGATTTTATCTATCTACATATTATTACTTTTTGTTAATTAATGATTAAGATTGTATTTATCTACTCTTAAACTCAATATTACATCTAAACAAAAAAAAATCTACTCGATATATTTAACAGGTTAAAAATTAAAGAAAATCTAAACATTTTAATTTACAAAAAAATATCAAATGATACAGTCTCGGAGCTGGGCTCCCATCTATACTCCAACCATTTTCTCTACATATGTAAAATTGTTAGAAAAAATATTCCTGTGTATCAAATATAACCAAAATAAATAGGTACGCATACACAATAACTGATAATGATTGGGTGAGCATTTCCCCAACAAAAATCTGCTCTAACAATTGCATTACAATTTCACACATACATGTATACATACACACTAGAATATATAATTATTTTGTTTCAGACAAAAAAAATTACCAATTGTATGATTAAATTCAAAATTTAAAAATTAAAATAGTTTAAGAAAAATCAAAAGTTAAGAGATTTGAAAAAATAAATTAAAAAAAAAAAAACCTAAATTACAGTATAACTGCCCATGTAACTATGATAAGAATATTTTGAAAAAATTCAAAAAATGAGACGTGAACCCTTCACATATATATATTATCGGTTATTGATAAGTAAAAATGTCGCTATAAGTCAGCAAATTATTTTTACTATTTTTTTGTCTATCTTCTTGTAAAACGAGGTCTCAATTTAAGTATAATCATTCAGTACAAAAATTCGTGCACACAATTTAATTACGAGAAAGGATTGTATCTAATTCTGCACGCGTAATCTAGAGAGAGAGAGAGAGAGAGAGAACTCACTCCTTGAAGAAAGCCATCGCGCAGTCCAGAATTGCCTCGCCACTTAACTCGTTGATTCATCGGTAATTTTCCAGACCTTTGAGCCTCAAAAAACATGAAGCTCTTGTCGAGTGCATCGCCATAGTCGAACCCCGCCGATACTACAATGGTAGCCTGGAGCAAGCCTAGGAGGAGGAAGACAAATGAAGAAGAAGCAATGCTCACCATGCCTTCTTTTTTGTTTGTTTTGTTTCCAGAGACTCAATTAGTGTGTCACAGATTCTGAGTATTCTGTACAGATGATCTCTATAGTGTATATATATATATATCTAGAGAGAGAGAGAGAGAGAGAGAGAGAGCGAGAGAAGGCAGGGGTGGTAGCCATCACGTTCGTTTGATAATAAAAACCAGAGATAGAGCTCGCCACGTTGATTCAAAGAGTGGGAAATGAAATGGGGAAATAATATTAGTGTACCCTGCACCTCCATGGAAATGTTCATGGACTCTCTCTCTCTCTCATGATATAAACATGATTGTTTGTTGTTGATCAAAGTCAGATTGTGTCCATTATAGAGCCATGATCCCATGCCCTTAAAATCTATGGTAATTATGGTAGTCATGGACCTCCTGTCCATTGAAAAGATAAGGTCTTAGAAAAAGAATTCAGAATTTACTCAGAATGTATTGGGGGTGTAGATTTAATTTTGTATAATGAAATTGCATCTCAATCATTCAATATTTTTTCTAAATAAATATTTTGGGTTTCTAGTATTGTTACTCTCATCTATTATTTCTATATTTTTTCTTGGAGCTGGACAAATAATTAAACAAAATATATAATCTAATATTTGGCAAAGGAAAATAGAGATCAATACTAAGGGGTTGTTTGGGATGACCTAAATAAGTGTACTTTTTGTCTTTTTACGAAAAGATGTGTAAAAAAGTAGAGAGGTGATGTGATGAAAAAAAAATAAAAAAATAGATTATTTTAGAGTTGCCAAACTTGGCCTAATAGTCTATCCAAACCTTAACAATCAATGGTTAACAATGGCTCTGATGGTTGGTTTTGCTAGAATAGACAATACAGAAATCCCTGTTTTAGTAAATAATGCAGAGAAAATAGTGAGATTGATCTACAAGAAGCTCAACAAACTCTTGAAATAATAAAACCTAATTTGAAGAAAGTTGAAGTTGAGACAGGAGGTGAGATACAAATTAGAGGATTAAGAAAATATTCAGACTAATTGAGTTAATTGCAAAATTGATAAGCAATTCAAACATGGGATATGATAGACAATTTAAAGGGATTGATGATCATAAGACTAATAGTGCTAGGAATGTTAACCATATCTAATTTAATTCATCCAAATAAATATGACCTTAAAATAGATAACTTTTTATCGTTATGGAGCAATATCATATTCTATCGTATCTAACTACTTCAATTAGTAATTGTTATGATTGATCCAATTGTTTCACACACGTAGTGTGTACTCACATTTTTAGATGACTTAAAATTTTCATTAAATGATCAAAACAAAAATGACTAGGATATCCTTCACAATTTGTTTTTTTTTTACAATGATCTTACTGTGATTTTTGTTTTAATTTTAAAATTCAAGGCTCACAATAGCTACATGAGTTCGAGCTCATGATAGCATTTCTTCCTTTTGGAGGTGCATTGATTTATTTATAACTTGTCCATGGATGACGAAACTTGAGACTTTTTAACAGGGGTATTAAAGTCTTTTAAGGCACAAGTTTTTTAGTAGTTGGGTTGGTAAGGATATACGTGCCATTCATACAACTCGGGGGAGTACTAATATTCGGGGCCGGCCCAATAATTTCTGAGCAAGGATTCTTTAAAAGTTTTTTTTTTTTTAAATTTTTTAGAGTAGTACATTGTGTGGTTGAGATTTAATTATAAGTCACATCAATTTTTCAGTATTAAATTTCAACCACACAATACACTACTTTAAAAAATTTTAAGAAAAACATACTCTAAAGGATCCTTGGTGATAATTTTTGGGGGCTTAGACACAATTTTAAATTGGATTTTTTTTATTTATTTAAATATGTACAAGATAATGGTAATATATTAGTAGTTAGGTTACAATATGTGTTGATATCTTTTGATAGATTTGAATCTAAAATTTTATTCACCTTAGCACTTAAATGTACCTTTTATGATCACTTAGGCAATTATGAGACTATATTACACGAGAAATGTTAACTTGAGTTAATGTTGCTATGTAAAAAAGTATATCGAAATAAGAATGAATCCTTTCCATATCATTGTTTTTAATATTCTGTCGTATTTTATTTTGTGGCCTCATTCTGAGTTCACAATGATGTCATACATTTATTAAAGACAAATATTATAAAATTATGTAGTTATTAACGGTTGGCACACATGAGCTTGTGCAATTCAAACAAATAAAAATAAAATAAAATAAGTTACTATATATGGTGCACTATTCAAGTGGTAAAAATATTTTTTACCAAACCTATGGTTTTAGGTTTGGGTCTCATTCTTTTTAAGAATTAGACACTTGGTATAAGGAGAGAAAAAGTCAGTAACAAAATTGTTTAAGATAGAGAAAGTCGCCACCAAAGTTGCTCACTCTTTTTAGTATTTGACGCTTAATATAGGTAGGGATGCAAAAGCGGCCCACCGGCCCATAGAGATCGACTAGGCCAGGCCTAAACCTGAGTTCAACCTGTGACCTTAGTATTGGGCTATGTGTTTTGGGGGCTAGTCCGGCCCGAAACCCGACCCATTGACCTCCTCAAGGCCCATAGGGCCCAATCGAGGCCCAATGTCATTTTCAAGCTATTTTTGTGAAAAAAAAATACTGAAAAAAAAACTTTAAAAAACAAAAAATTAGTTAGGCTCGGCCTTAAACCCGACCCTAGGCCTAAACCAAGGCTGCAATCTGCTTTTTAGTCGCCTTGGGCTTAGGCTTAGGCCTGAGCTAAGATTTTTTCCACATGGGCTAGCCCAAAAATTGGCAAGAACCTGTCTAACTCGTTTGTGGACCGGTCCGAGCCCAGGTCCGAATGGCCTGGTCAGGCTAAATTTACACCCCTAAATATAAGGAGAGAGAAAGTTTCAATCCATTTAAAACATAAAAACATTGTTGGTCACTCTTATTAATATAATTTTTTTCGTGGAAGTCAAACACAAACGACTGGGATCATTTTTATACTGATACTGGATAGATACATTTAAAACATAAAACTTTGAAATATATATTAAAATTTTATTTGTTTTAGCATAATTTTGTTTTTAAAGTTGACCCTTATTAATTTTTACACTGCAAAATTTGTTATTTAAAATTCATTTTTTTTTTTTTGGGAGCAATAATTAAAGATGAGTTTACACCTTTTATTTGTGGCGATCATTTTTTGATAAGGGATTTTTACTTTTCTACCTACAAATGGGGAGCTTTATGTTTTTTTTTTTTATTCTTTTTTCGGCATTTATTCATAAATCTTTTTTACCTACTTATGTTCTACTTAATCTAAATTATGTTTTTATATTCCAATAAGTCTTATAGGTGATATAATTATTAAAATGCTCTTAATAATAATAGGATGAAACACACATTAATTTTTACATTGATAATGTGAACGTTTCATGATGTGAAAATTCATATTGTCAACTTGAACATTTACATTACCAATTATTATTATTATTTTTTATTTTTTTATTTTTTAATTTATAATTTGAATGTTCATATCACCAAGTTGCTAATAGTTCAAAAAATATTTGTAAGAGTAAAATTGTTTATAAAATACATTAATTAAGATTTGGCGAATCAAATATCTAAAATAATAAGACTCATTGATTTACAAAAATATCTTATAGGCTAATTAAAATACAAGTACTTGAAATCGAAATTTTTAATTTTTTTTTTCTTGACCTTTGGACAATGATTGCTTTATTCACTTATTATTAGGCGTATAAACAATAAGAGTTTTTATTTTATTAGATTTTCAAACAAATTTTTTTATAAGTGTTTAAATAATATGTGTTTTTCTTCGGATTAATTGGTAATAAATCCAATCTGAGGAGGGTATAAGAGCATCTGCAATGTATTAGTCATGCTTGTTAGTCAAAATACCTAGTATGGCTTATTTTTTTTCAACTCAATACACTAGGCATATGATTAGGCATTTTAACTCAACTCACATTCACTAGTTACATGTAGCTAGCCTTCAAGACTAGGCAAAATGTATTTAATCATTAGGATCATTTTTCTCCATCTTTATTGCTGATGTGGCATTCTATAAAATTAATAGTATTTGGATGAATAGCTAAAATAAAAAAACATAGTTGGAGTAGAAATATGAAACAATTGATGAGAAGTATATACTTTAATAGTATTTGGATGAATAGCTAAAATAAAAAAACATAGTTGGAGTAAAATAAAATATATACTTTATAGTAATGTTTAGATAGGTAAAATGTCTATTACCGTTGGAGTTGTTTAGATCCAAAGGATATTTTTTATTGATGAGAAGTACACGCTTTGTGAAATAGTTTGGTGAGAAATTCTAGAGAACATGTTGTTTCTAATTTTACACCTTGACTTTTTTTTATCTGTTTGACTTTTCATTGATATTTATTCAAATATATATCTATCTGTTTAAGTTATTTTCTATCTGTTCAAATTTATATCTATCTGTTCAATTTTTTCTCTTAAATTATATCTATCTGTTCAATTTTTTCCTTAAATTCTATTTATTTGTTCAATTTTTTCCTCTAATTTATATCCATCTATTTAATTTTTTCCCTAAATTCTATTTATTTGTTCAATTTTTTTCTAGAATGCTATTTTTTTTTTATCTATTTAAATCTTTGTTATTGAAATACACCAAGCCACTATCTGTTCAAATTTTGAACAGATCTTTATTCTTTTTATCTGTTGCACCATAGATTTTCTTTTTTTAAAAATCTTTTTGTAATCATCATCATCAACAACAACAACAACAACAACAACTGCAACTACAAAACATCAACTAGGGTTATATACTTTCCTTATTCTCTCTCATAATCCAATTCTAGAGAAATAAAATATGGGACAACAGAGTGCTTATTTGTGTTAGGAGTGGGTCAAGATACTACGACGCCTTTGAAGCGCGGTAAAGCAACACTTCCAACCATCACCACCAATAGCGGCGGCGATTTCAGAACCACAATCTCCTCCTTGATCCTATATCGCCGTCAAATCTACCGAACCACCACGACCTCTTTTGAAACATTCTGAAATGTTACGGTGTCAGAATCATATGACTCTAACACCTATAGATCTGGTGACAAATGACCGGAGGCCTTGGAAGGCGGCGATCTTAAGCGATGATCGCAGATCTG